AAAAAATGGTATGACATAGTCATCGGCCAACACTGCTAGTCAGTACTAGAAAAGGACTTTAATCTGCAAAAACTGGATAGGGGTAGAACTGTAGAACAGAATTTGAGTGAGGATTTTGATGAAGAATGACCTCTTTCATCAGATGAGGTAATGGAACAAAGTTATGTCTTTTTGTTTCATATAGAAAATAAATTGGAGCAAAAGCTTGAAGAAAAGTTGGAAAATTCATTGTCGAAGGTTCTGGATAGTAGCTTGCAACAGTAGTCAGCACAGTTAAATAAAGCTAGTTGGAACCCACGAAACTAATATAAGTATGATGTGGTTTGTGAAGTTGAAACTATGTTTCAAAAAGCTATTCAGAAGGATTCAAAGAAGAAGGCAATAGAGGTACAGGAACTGTTAAAACTAAGGACATTTGTTCTAAGAGTTGCAAAAAAAGAAGGTTGGAAAGTAGCAGCAAAGATACCGAAACTAGCCCTTAGTGAAAAGGACAAATTTAAGGAATTATTAACTGAAGCAAGGAAATAGGCTAAACCTTCTGAAGGTTTTTCCACATATTATATAGAGGAACCTGAAGAAGTAAAGGTAGTTCCTGGTCCTCCAGGCCAAAATATAATTATTATACACCTTATCTGTCACCATATTCACAACCACAGCCTTATGTCCAATACCCATTGCCTATTTTTCAAGGGTATCAGAGTCAAAATGTGATCCCAAATCTGGATTCAGCTTACCAAAATTCATATAACAGGCCAGCAACAAAGCAATTTAACTGCTATTTTTGTGGTGGCATCAGTCATATAGCAGTATTATGCCTATCAAAATTAGCAGAAAATAATTCTCTAGGAAATGGATTTTTTCAGAATAAAAGCAGTAATAGAAGGTGACTACACTTGGGTGGCAAAAAACAAAATAATAATGATAGCGGACAATACAGATCAGAACAGAAAGGTTGTTTGAAAAATACATGAACCAACAGCCATGAAGTATTGGATGAAAAAATAGGACCATCACCAGTAGTAGCTTGCTAGTTAAGGAATTTAGTGTCTCTATTCTCAAAGAATGTATAGAGTCTGGTAGAAAAAGCAGACCCAAAACTATACAAATTATTGGCAGAATTAAAGGTGTGGTTGGAGAAGGAGTTAAATTAGTTGGAAGGACTGGGTGCTGTAAAGAAGAATCAGAATTGCTTCATTCAGCTTAACTGTTGGAGGTTTCTCTGATTTTCCTGGTATACAAGCCAGGTCCAAAACACTACCGCCTAATAATAGACTTAAAGAGGTTAAACAAACAACTCCTAGTAAAATTATTTTGATTCGAAGATCTGGGAGGTCTATTGAGGTCAATTAGAAAAGGTTGATCTATGATTACACTGGATTTAAAAGACAGATATCACTATGTTCTAATGCAAGAGGAAGCTTGACATTTTCTAGGTTTTTGGATAGAAAATCTATAGTACTATTACCGAGTGTTGCTGTTTGGTCTTTTCCAAGCAGTTTAGATTTTTTCGAAGATAATTCAGGCATTGGTTAGCCATTAAAGATCAAAAGGCATTGCTTTGGGTCTCATGTCGATGATATATAGATAGCTTATCCTTTTGCAGTAATATTAAAGAAAATCTGGGATAAAGTCATTTTGCCAGACTTGAGAAATTGTGGATTCATTCTGGCTTGAGACAAGAGCAGTCTGATCCCATCAAGAGAAATAAAGTTTTATGAATTAATTGTGAACATGATAAAGGCACAAGTGATCATACTACAACAAAAGCTAGAAGAGACAAAAGCTTGTTTGAAAACACTATTAAGAATAAATTGGGTGTTAGCAAATAGTTAGCAATAGTTACGAGCAAGATCCAGAGTTTAGCAAGGGCCTTTGCCCCAACACAAGTAAAGTGCTTGGAGTTCTATTCCATTATTGATATAGTGAACTGTCAGAGTTGGAAATAGGACAAAAAAATTTGTCTGTCAGAACAAGTAAAAATGGATATGTATTGGTTGTTGAACAACCTAAGACATACAATGATCGGCCAGCTTGAAGGCCATCATTGATAAAGAGCCTGTATATAAATGCTTTAACAACCAATTGATGCATAAAATTAAATTAAAAAATGATATTCAGAAATTAGTCAAAAATGTTAAGTTTTCGGAAAATTGCAAAACTGGAAGCAGAAGCTCTTTTGCTTGGTTTTCAGAGTTTCACAAATTTGTTGAAGGGTTCCTGAATTTTATTATTTATAAACAGTTGTATAGCACTAGCAACAATGGGTATGGGCAGAAAATATTGGTGGCAAAAGAAAGTCTACAGAAACCTGTGGCAAGTTTGTCTAGAAAAGAATATTTTGATCTACAAGATGAGGTGGGTACCTTTGGGGCTAAACCCAGCAGATTTTTGGACCTGGGTCTTCGACTCATCAGATTGGCAGGTTAGAGAGGAGGTTTTTTAACAGATAAAAACCACATTTAGATCACATTCAATAGATCGAATAGCATTGTATCTAAATACATAGGTGCAGAGGTTCAACATTTATCATTTTTGCCCGGGTTCAGAAGCAATAAATTGTTTTACCCAGAGGTGGAAAAACAAAATAAATTATGTATACCCTCTCTACATTTGATACAGAAAGTCCTCTACCATGTAAGAAGTTGCAGAGCAAGGACTATGATTGTAATCCTAGAATGGTTGTCAGCTGAATAGTGGCCTCTTCACCTGGAACTAAATTGGGAGGCATTCATCTTGCCGAATCCAAGATTTACCTTTGTGCCCAGTCCATCTGGTCTTGTAAAACCTCAAAGAAACCTACGGTGGAAATTTTTGGCCATCCATATTTGTCCATAAAAAAATTGTCAAAAAAGCAAAAAAATTAGCAAAAAATATGGTGTTTCCCTTCTACAAATTGAAATTAGAGAAGTATTGGGGACTATATGAAGAATTTTGTAAAACATTTGGCCTGGATATGGACAATCCACTTGAGAAAGGTATCTTGATATTCATTATATGATTAGATATAATGGGCCTGGGGTTGCAGATTCCCAGAATCCTACAGGTTGCAGTGAATAATCTGTGTTTTGAGGAAAAGAGGATTTTAGAAAATCGTTGGTCATAATACAGGTGCTAAGGGCAATAAGAAAAGAAGCTTCAAAGAATAAAACACCAGATTGGCCACATGACCCATTACTAGTAATAGCATTGAGATACTATGTAAATGTGCCACCCTACAGAATCAATGTATTAATGTATAAGAAAGATATAGCTTTAGTTGCTCTTGAATTAAGGATAATAAAAAGATCAAAAGAGTTAGGAGACCTAACCTTAAATGATATAAAAAGGACAATAATAGGACTTTGTGAGTTCAGATTTGTAAGTCAACGACTGACCAGTTTAAAAATAATAGGTTTATTTTTGTTGAAAATATAGAATCGAAGTATTGTCTGGTGAAGCTACTGAAGCAATACCTAGAAATCTGACTAAGAACAACTATGAAGGCATCACTATTTCTATTAAAGCAAAGAAAGAAGGTTTCTGTCTCAGCAGTAAAGTTAATAGTGAAAAGGTCCACTGAGCATGCTGGTTTGAGTGGCAGGTTTATAGCACATTTATTGTGAATTGGAGAAGTTATAGCTGCAATAATGATGGATATAAATCTCATCAAATTTGGGCAATTGGAGGTTAGGACTCAAAGTCCATTATGTTGTATCTAAAGATCCTATCCACTGTGAAGGCTGGAATTTCTAGAAAAATGGAGTTTTTGAAAAAAAAAAGGGGGGAAAAGGGGATTTGAAATTAGGATGGTATCTACTATAATTAGCTAGAATGTTAAAAAAAAAAAAAAAAAAAAGAGAAAAAGAACAGTGTCTACTATTTTTAAAGTTGGAACCAAGTGAAAAAAAAAAAAAAAAAAAAAAAAAGGGAGAAAGGGAAAAGAGAAGAAAATAGTATCCACTATTAAAGTTGAAACCAAAAAAAAAAGATAGTTAATAATATGTGATAAAAATAAGAATCAATAATAGTAGTCAATTAAATTAGTATAATATTCATGGTTAGGATTTTTTGATAAATAGTGAGGAATGATATCTGCTATTAAGAGCTGAAACTACTATATTTTTTTGATTGTTAAGTAAATAAAGAGAACAATGTGTAGTAAGCATTAAGGATAGACTATTATAAAAAAAAATAATAATTTTTGCATACTAATTTTGAATGACCTTCACCAACAATCCCATATTGTATTAATTAGATGAATGTTTTGTTAGCCATGGAAGTTGTTCATTTAGTAGAAGGGACAGGTTACATAATGAACAATAATAATGACCCACTTGTAAATGAAGTCACAAAGCAGTTATTATTGTGAGTCACTGGATTTCACGTGATGGTAGATCATAGGCCCTGTTCAGAATTGAGTATTCAGATAACTAAATGATCTTTTTTGATTCTTTGTTCTGAAATTTTTCTGCTTGACTTTGTGTCCAGTAATTCCCCACCTCATCCAAAAAAAAAAAAAAAAAAAAAAAAAGGGGTAATGAATAAATAAATGAATGAAATGATAAAATGAAATGAAAAGGAAAGAAAAGAAAAGAGAGAAAAAAAAAGGAAGAAAGAGGAAGAGAAAAAAAGAAGTAAGAAGGAAATGATACTTACTAAGTTTGGTTATATAACTTGCTTTGTGATTCCATCCCATATTGTACGTATTAATTAGATGAATGTTTTGTTGGTCATGAAAGTTGTTCATATGGTAGAAGATGACAAACAATAATAATTATAACTTTATGCAGAGGGTGATTTCAAGCACAGTAACAGTAAAATCATAATAACATAACACCCAGTAAAGCCAAAACAGTAAAATCATAACATTAATATCTATTAAAATCACAAAGCCTTTTAAAGCCATAACAGTAAGCTCATAAGATTATAAAAGCAATACCAAAACAAAGCCAGCAACAGTAAAAGGTAGTAAAATGAAGGTATAATAATGTTTTTTATCTGCTTTTTATATGAAAAAATTATATTAATGTATTGTTTTGTTAGCATGTTAAATATACACATGAAATAACATAAATGTGGATCAAGATTCTGAAGAAATTCTGTTGTAAAGTAGAAGATGAAAAAAATAAAAACATTAATTTTAAAGTTGTGTTAAAAAATTAGTTCTTTAAATTTATATGTACAATAAAGAGAAAAGTGGGAATATCATATATGTTATATAAGAAATTGCTTGGTAGTAGTATCTATAAACAAAATTATAAATTGTCAACTGGTCAATAACTCCAAAAAACTGAATTACAGAAAAATGTTATAGAAGACACCAAAGTACTAAATAAACTTAGTTTTACACAAGTAGGTGTGTATTGACAAAGTACTAAGAATGTAAAATTGAGAAGTGGACTACTTGTTACAGTTTTTGTAGAGGTCAAACTTTTCTGTAGTAGACTCCTCTTATATTCAGCACCCAAACTAAAGGATATTCTAGAAACACAAAACAACAAGATTGATACTAAGGATATTAAAAACTTTAGGATAATACTAAATCGTAT